CCTCCCTCTCTCTCTCCCTCTCTCCCTCCCTCTCTCTCTCCCTCTCTGTCTCCCTCTCTCTCTCCCTCTCTCCCTCTCTGAGACAGTCTCGCTCTGTCACCCAGGCTGGAGTGCGGTGGCAGGCTCTCCACTCACTGCACCTCCGCCTCCCAGGTCCAAGCGATTCTCCCGCCTCAGCCTCCCGAGTCGCTGGGACCACAAGCACAGGCCACACACCCGGCGTCCTCCTGATCTGTTGTCCCATTCGGTGAAGGGGCTGGTGCCATCATGGATCCTGCCAGGTTACAGATTAATAGGTTAGTCCTAGGCAATCTCTTAGTCACCCTTCAGCCAGCGGTGGGTTCCGCCCCTGAAGAAACCTTTCACTGGAGAGAGAATTCTGGAGGTCCCTGGTCGCTGTCGGGATCCAACTCCTGAAGCTTCTAGGAAATCCACGAGCGGATAAGAGAGCAGGGCCTGTGCTGAGCTCGTGCTCAGGCGGATAACCGCGCAGAGGCCTGGAGCACGGGCTGGGAAGGAAACCGGGCGGCTCCGAGGCCGTATTTCCAGGTGAGACGCAGCACACAGGCAGCTTCTCGCAAGGTTGTGTCTTGACACCTGGAGCCGGGCGAGGAAAGCGTAAAGAAGAAAGAAAAGTTCAAAACGGCCTTTTGCCTCGTCGCACCCCTGAGAGCAAGCTGGGTCACCCGCGAAAAGCCGCCCAGGGCTCTCGCTCTTGTCCAGTCTGTTCGATCCGGAAATACGGCCGCCGGTGCTTCCATCAGTGCGCCAACGACATCGGTTTTATTGAGTTGGACTAAATCATTCTCCCTTCAAAGGATTATCCAAGGCCGCTACCATGAAAAACCACGATAGTTCTTTGTACCTAAAATAAACATTTAAAAAAAGAAAGAAAAAACTACGGTGTAAAGCGCACCTTGGGGACCCACGGGGCCGTCGAGGGGCTCGAGGCCACTGGCCTTGGTGTCATCATCGCCGCCGCCGTGGCCAACACGGTGAAGCCCTGTCGCTACTAAAAACACAAAACATTTGCCAGGAGTGGTGCGGGCACCGGTAATCCCAGCTACTCGGGAGGCTGAGGCAGGAGGATCGCTTGGCCCCGGGAGGCGGGGGTGGCAGTGAGCCGAGATGGTGCCACTGCACTCCAGCCTGGCGACAGAGGAGGCTCCATCTCAAAACAAAACGGAAACCAACAGAAACAAGAAAGAATCGGAGGCTGAAACCGAACAGTGCCGCCTGCAGAGGGAGAGCGAGTTCCAGGCCAGGGAGGCTGCGGCTCTGGGAGCCCAGGGCAGCCGCCGCCCCGCCGCGGGGAAGGAGACCCGGGAGAACATGACCAGCTCACGACCTGCTTTCGGCAGAAGACGGATGACGTCTTGGATACACTCCTGGCTTCCGTCTGTGACATTTGGCCAGAAATCCACAAAAACTACCGCATAAATGGATAGAAGAGAGAGTCGGCTGTTCTGTGGACTGCTCAGCTCTGGTTATACGCTTAGGAAATGGCAATACGTTACTTCCCTACGCTATGCAGCAGGTCCTGCCACTTTTTGGAGAGTAGTAGATCTGCAGACTTAGAAACTGTCCAAAAATGTCATC